GTTCTTTTATATTTCTGTTTCTTTTTGGAGAAATTATTTTTAGCCTCTCATTAACTGACCCTTTTATGGTCCGAATCTTGGCTTGACCCTTACTGTAAAGCTCATTGGTAACCTTTAATTGCCCAGTTTTGTTGGTTAAAAGTTATTTTCAGATCGAGTAAATTGTTAAGATAATAACTTTTAGTCCTAATAAATTATTCATATGATTTCAACTTCGTGTATTCAACTGTCTAATTGTTATAATTAAATCAATTTTTTTCCTTTCTGTTTGATTGATTGTTTACAACTTATTGATTTGCTTTGTATGCTCAAGAAATTCAATTAAATGAAAATTGAAACCTAAAATTTAATCTAATTTAGATACAATCAAGTTGTTTTCAATTCCTTTCAATGGAAACCATTGGTTTAAGTTGTTAATGAACAAACAATTGACTGTGATTCAAGTTGAACAAACTTCTTGTTACTTTCAGTTAAATTGTTTATTCTTATTCTCAACTGAAAACAATCAATAATTTAAAGTCCAATTGCTTCTGTTCACCGTAAGTGTTAATTGTTGCAATTATAAAATATATTAGGCCTAATAAAAGGGAAAATCAGGTGGATAAACAGTTTTACCTAAATTATTTGGGTTAAACTGGTTCGAAGCGAAAACACTTCGCTATAAACTTTATGTCGACTTATTGACTTTTTTATTAGACCTGAAACCGCATTATTATAAATGATGGCAATGAAACGCAAGATGATGAGAAAGAGAGAGAGGATAAAGGATATTTTGTCGGCAATGAAAGAAGACAAGAGGCAGGAAGATAAGGATGATAACATTGGTTCCATTGATAATACTTTGAGCTTCGTTGAATGAGCTGAAAACGGGTAGAAGGCGATACAAAACCTTGATACGCTTCAAGAAAATAGTTTGGGATAAGGATGAAGATGGAGATGAGGATGAGGATGAGGATGATGCCAAAGGCAAAGGACACAAGCTGAACATTTTGAATGAGAGTGAAAAAGAAGCATGAAAGACAACGAGAAGACAGAATGAACCGAGAAAAAGAATGAGAATGATGGATGAGCTTTTAGTTCCTCTTTCTTTTTCCTCATCTTCTCTTTCTCTCTCTCTCTCTCTCTCTCTCTCTCTCTTCCTGACCCAAGGGACAGGAAGAAGGTTTCGAGGTTTTCTCCTCTCCTTTTTGACTTTTACTTCAGCTTTTTGCTTCTGAATCTAAAGATATGTTACAATGAAAGAGAGATGAAAGTGATGAGGATGCTAAAGATGATGATGAGAATATCTTTCGTCTTCTTTTGTGTCTAGCCAGTCTTTCTCTCTTTCTTATCCTCATTTCTGATTCCAGTTCCGATATTCTGAATAATAAATACGACAAATAACTTGGTTACTTTGGTTTATGCATGAAAACAAAATCTCAGGGAATTTTTCTCCTACATGATATCAACGAATTTGAATGTTACAGATTTTCAGGTTCACTCTTGTACATGAATCATTACATGATGATTTGTCTTCTAACATTTACTTTTTCGTTGATTTTGTGATATCTAAAAATTCAGATTCTTGTTTTATATTTTTTTTTCTCTTCTTCTTTTTCTGTTCTTTTACTGATTTTCATGGTCCATGAAGCAAATGAAATTTACTCTTTATATTATTTTTATTATCATTTCAAGTTTTACTTTTTTCTTCCAATGATAATGGTTATTTACAAATCGATTGAGATTTTGTTTTCGTTTCTCTTGTTGAAACTTTCATTGAGAAACTTTCCCCCACCTCATGTAACTTCCACTTCCACCCTCTTCATCCTCTGATTAACATGATAATAAACTACAGATTCTGAATATTTTCATCATCATCATTATTATTAGCAGATTCATTATAATCTAGTAAGTAAATATAATACAAATATCTTTGGTTACAAATCTTTAAGTTGAATTCATAATGAAAGAGGAGGAGAAGTGGAAGATAAAGATGAAGGATGATGATTATGAGCGAAAAAAAATAACTCAAGTAATTTGTTTTACTGATAATGATGAAGATGAAGATGAGGATGAAGAGGAAATTGATGAGAAAAAGTTGATTTTATCATTGGATAGAGAAGAAAAAATATCATGAACTTTGCTCATGTTAAATATTGGATTTCAATTAACTCTCAATCTTCAAGTTCATGGTATTAGCTTTTATTAATGTAATCAAATCCAAATGATAATGATAACATGAGAGAGGTGGTGATGCTGGTGTTGGGTTGATTATCCTTTTTGTTTATCATCCTTTAGGTTATCGTCAATGATGTTAATCTTAATAATTAAGTATTCGTATTCATTTAATATTAAGTAAAACTTTTATTTTCTGTTGAATTTTGTTTGATGATTAAAACGAAGATGAGGATTGTGATCATTAAGAGGGAGGATGAGGAGGAGGGAGATAAAGATGATGAATAAGAAGATGTTTTCTTGGCATGAGAATGAAGATGGAGATGACAAGAAATGACATTTTCAAATCAACTTATATCTTTGGGATGAAATAGAATGCAGAGAGAGAGAGAGAGAGAGAGAGAGAGAGAGAGAGAGAGAGAGAGAGAGAGAGAGAGAGAGCGTCGGAATCTTATGATGAAGTTTTCATCATCTTTTATCCTAATTCAGATAATAGAATCAATCTGCTATCATCTTTATCTTCATCATAATCTTTTTTATCTCTTTACTTTCATCATCAAGTTTTGTATATTTTTCTTGGCATCATCTTTATTATATCTTTATAATGTGAGCATCTTTTACTCTTCATCACCATTGGAATACCTTCAAAGTAAAATCAATAATCAATTGTGAATGATAACATGATAATAATAATAATGAACTTAGATTCTCATGGATCATGAAAATAAACCAAGAAAAAAAAAGAGTGAAAAATATTTCTTTTCACTCCCAATTGATGATAAGTTAACCAAAAGACCTGATGATTGACTTGAAAAGATGAAGATGATGATAATGATGATGAAATGAATGTCAAATGGATAGAAACATATAAGAAGATGGAGGAAGAATGCAAAGAATGACAAGGATGATTGGATGACAAAGTTGACAAGTATGAAAAGTGATTGGATGAAAAGGAAGAGAAAAGATAGGTTGGGGTGGAAGATGAAGAAGTGAGACTCTGGAAGAGAGAGACAGAGAGAGAGAGAGATTGGAAGATGATGATGATAATAATAGGATGAATGATGGATCAATTGATTGGTTCGATATCAATGGTCAATTGTAAAAAAGAAGATGATACAAGAAGATGTAACAATGTTTTCGAAGATGAAGAAAGATGACTTTTAACTTCTCTATTTTTCTTTTACATGATGATGATGGAGAAGCTAAAAATCTAGAAGATGAAAGGAAGGGAGAGGGATGAGGATGTTGATGAAGAATTGGAATACAAGTTGAAAGATGAAGATATAAGAAGAAAAATTGAATAAAGAAGATAAAATGTAACCTTATATGTTATTCTTTTCATATTTTCTTCTTCTTTTTTCTGTTCTTATTTTCAATTCTTTGACTTTCATGGAATCATTTCTTGAAATGACGATAAAGATGAAGATGAAATAGAAAAGAGATTGCGAAAAAAAATCAAAAAGAAAAACCATTTTTTCTTTTTCTTTCATTTTAAAAGTTGTATCATAACAATGGAGATTGAATTGAATAGATGAAGATGAGGAGGTGGTGGGGGAGTGGAAATTTACATGTAGTGAGGATGAGAAGGAGATGATGATGATGATAATGACGATGTTGTGGTTAAATCAACAACAGGAAGAAAAAAAATCTCAATGATAAAAATGATTCTTTTGATCAGAACTGATTTTTTTTGTTCCATATGCAAGTAACCATGAGCAGAGAAAACAATATGAATGATACAATGGCGATGATATAATGGTAACAATATATAGTCGAATAGTTTATCATCATCATCGTCATCATTTTGTTTTTATCTTCCTTATAATCTTAAGATTAATACTCTATCTCTCTCACTCTCACTTTCATTCACTGATTCAGTTTCATTGTTAACTGAAAATGTCATTTGATTGATTACAATAATAATAATAATAATAGTAACAAACTCTTTCACTAAAATTCAATTACATTTGTAACTTTTCTCTCTCTCTCTCTCTCTCTCTCTCTCTCATCATCTCTCTTATCAACTTTATCTTCATCTTCGTTTTCATCTAGTATAGAAAATGAAACATGTTCAATTCCTCTTCCTCTTTATCCTCCCACTCTCCTCATCTTCTTCCTCTTCCTTTTCATCTCAATCATTTTCATTCTTAATCTTATCTTCCTCTCTCATCTCTGTCCATTCTTGATCCCAATTGGATGATAATCTAATATAAATCTACTTTTCTTGTTTTTCTTGTTGATTGTTGTTTAAATTAGTAAATTGTTATAACTGTTTCTCTCTACATCGATCCGTATCAATATCGTGTACAAACACAATCATTGACAAATTGATGTATCACAATTTTAATTACATTCGGTTGTTCATCTCTTATTGCTGTTGATTGTTTAAAGGCTCAAATTTCAAAATAGTTAACTGTTAACAACAGTTAACTGATAAACAGTTAAATGTTACTTGAAATGTTTACTAAACTTAAATTGTTTTGTTGTTTGGGATGCTAATGACTCGGAACAATTTAAACAATGAGAAACTTTTATCTTAGCTAAATTGTTTCAATCGGTTCAAAAAACAAACTAAGATAACAATGTTTCACAATCAAAGTTAATGATGATCAGAATTACAATTGACAATCAGAAAAAAAATTATTTCCAAATCTAAGATTCGTGTTGGAATAAAAAAGTTGAAAACTTTTTGCTTCTTTTTGATTAATTGTTGTTCATCTCTCTTTTTTTTTGTTGATATTATATGGAAACAGTGATTAAGATAAATTATCGTGTTAAGTTCATTGTAATTCCCTGATAATTGTTTTAATGATTCTAATTGGTTGATTATCTATTTGAATGATTGATTCAATTTGATAGTAAATATGATTTATTTATTTACCATGTTGGTGGCAATTGAATATATAAGAATGAGGGGAAAAAATTATACTTTGAAATATAATTTATATTGTTAAAAACTGTGACTGAAATCATTAATCATTTTTCTTATATATTCACTGTCATCAAATTTGTTTAAACATTAAACACAATTAATGGTATTTCAATTAACTAAACAACAAACTTTAAATTCCTGTTAATTGAATCAACTCTGAAACTCATTACGAATGACAGACAATCACTTTTAACCAAAACACTTACACAAATTAAACAAAATTTTACTCGTGCCAACAATTTAGTAATCGTCTTCATTCAATTTTTCCCAATTGTTAACAATTAAATCAACCACTCTACAGGCGACATCTTGTATCTCCATTTGCAACTAAACTCGGATGGAAACTTTTTCGCCCCAATAGATGGCGCTTGTAGTTCCTTAATTCGTTGCAAAAGTTGAACAAACTTAAAGTTAATTGTTTTGTATTCCTAATTCAATTGGATTATCTCTTGATGAAGTCTCTCAACTGATTGTGAAGATGGTTTAGCCTGTGGAGAGAAAAGAAAGAGAGAAAAATAAAGAAAGTTAATGATTACATCAGAACTTTTTCCATTTGATGTTATGTAACGTTGAATGTGTGGGATTGATTAGCCTTGGATTTCCTATTAAGTTACATCAAAATCATGTTTCTTTTTTGTTTATTTGATTTTCTTTGTTCAAATCAATCTCTTGATTGTTACGTTAATTGTTGTTAGTGATAAATTTTTCTCTTTTGTTTAGTTTAGGGCAAGTTAACAAAATGATATTGAAATTTACACCAAATACTTACAGTATCAATACTAATTGATTGTTTAACTTTTCCTTTATCTCTCCACTAATCTTTTAATACTTTCACCGTAGTTGATTGTTGATTACTCAATATAATTAATTAATTAATAATTAAGTGATTGGTAGTTCTTATTTCCCGTTTTTTTTCTCCATTATCTTTGCTTCTTGTTTAGGTATTTATAGACACCAAATGGTTTGTGTAAATCATTTAATGATCAACAAATTGTATATAAATTGATTGAAGCTTGAAAATTAAGACTTGGCAATCAGCAGTTTGAATGATTTTACCTTCTTTAATTTCATTTATCTTTCACTAATTAAAGTCTTTCAATTAAAATTAACTGATTGACATTGGCTGCCTTTTTTTTGGTAATTTTGTTTCAATATTTTGAACTTGAACTGGTGGTGGTGGTGATAAAATTATTTAGTTTTTTTTCCTTAATTTATCACGTAAATTTGTGTCACAGTTAATTATTTGAAGATTGTTTCACAAATTAATTAGAGTTGCTAATAATAATAAAGGTGATGAATGTAGCGTTGTTTGTCCAATGTTGAGAATCTTAATTTTGATTTGTTTGATTAAGAAACCAAAGTAATTGAAACCAGAAATGATTTGAAGTCTCTTCCATTGCATAAAATTGTTGAATTGATGAAACATGATGATGAATGTTAATTAACTATTATTTCATATTCATATCGATAGATGAAAATCAAAATAACCATTGCCATTGATAAAAAGCTAATTAAATATGTATAAATGATTAATGTACTAATTAATCATTCCAATCAATTGGCTCAACAACTTCTGGATCACGATTGCTAGACGGATAAATTTGATTAATTGATAATCAACGATGTCGTTAGTATAATTATGATGATTGATAACTGTTAATTGATCAAACATTGAGAATTAAATAGCAATTAATTCATTATTTCCATATTGTTGACTGACAATTTCGATTAAAAATTAACCAAGTTGTAACATACCTATTGGAAGAAACAAAAGAAAAAAATTAATAAGAAATAATTGCAAATCAGCATTTAATTAATAAGGAAAATTAATAAGCCATTGGGTAAAAAAAAAGTAAACAAATTAACTAAGTGTATCAATTTGATCTCATGATTTGTCTTGATGGAATGAAAAATTTTTTAAATTAATGGACACTAAATAAATTCAAAGTAATAATTTAAAGGTTTAACATGAGAGAAAAAATAATTAATGAGAATAACAATAAGTCAACAATTACCATGAAGAGCAGATATAATCGTCAATAATTAGACAGTAATAATCAATCAATTAATCGATGGCTACGATCGAGACAACGAGAGGAGGGAAAGAAAACACAAGAGTTGATTACAAAAGAAAAACAATAAAAAATTCACACGACTCAATGAGAGAAAGAGATAAAACAAAACAAAGGAGAAATTAAAATAATTTAAAAATCATATTTCTCTCACATATTCATAATTGAACAATCTTCTAATTAAAAACCTTGCCGGATGAAAATTGATATATCCTCGATAGGAGAGAGAGCAAGAAGATAAACATGATTAAACTAAAACACAAACAACAGTTAATAAGTAAAGTAACCAGGGCTAATCAACACTCAATCAACCATAATTGTTGACCTTGTTGAACAATTTGTCTCACATCCGTGAACATCCTTGGCGATGACGATGATCACCTTTTTTCTCATTTATTACATCCTTTTTTTCAGTTCATCATCATCTTAACTCATAATCATGTAAACAAGTGAGATAGAGTGAGAGAGAGAGAGAGAGAGAAAAAATGATCACTTACCAATAAAAAACAATATGGAGTCGGCGGCCTCAACCAAAAGGAAAAGTGTGAATATGAGAAAAGGTTAGTGAAAGAGATAATTAATTAATTAATCAATTAGGATAGAAAACACTGCATCCATAATTAGTTGCTAATTAGAAAAGAAGAATTTGAAGAAAAAATATCAACAATTAATTCATTCGATTAACTGTCAAACATGATTGAATAATAATTATGATTCTAATCACACAGCTAATTTGACCGATAAAAACAAAAAAGAATAGAACAAAATTGTCTCTCTTTTTCTCTTTCTTTTTAATTCTTTTTACTTTTCCATTCGATAGATGGAGTTGTTTTTTGTTCTCTTCTTGTTGTTGTTGTGATTTTGCTTCTTCTCGCAAGTGAGTTAATGTTGGATAACAACTAATGTTAAATCAAAAATTTCTCCGATTAAATAAATTGCTGTTGATTGTGTCTTCTAATTCAATTGTTTCTTTCTTTACTTAATCAATGGTTAATTGTATTGTTTTCGTTCGAACAATTTATCCCCATAGTTTAATTTGACAACTTTATTTCTTCACCACGGATAAACAAACCAAAGCTTGAGAATATTTTTCTCTTTCTCTCTTTCTCTTTATTTTTCTTTCTTTTCATCTTTATTTTTTTTCTTCTTTCATCTTCTTCTTAAATTTGACTAATTTCTCTCTTAGTTGATCTATTGCTGATCAATATTTTCCCTTGTTTTTTTTTTGGTTTACTGGTTGAAAAACTACAAAAGAGAAGCGGATAAACAACCAATATTTTGTCATGTCAGAATCAACATTATTTCAACTATGGTGTTATGGAGCTGGTGCTGTGATATTTATTAGTATTGTTGGTTTGGGTGCAATTCTCATGATTCCAAGCATCAAAAATCATCATGGAGATGTTATTCAGCTTCTAGTTGGACTTGCCATTGGAACATTAACAAGCGATGCTCTCCTACATCTTTTACCTCATGTAATTCAATTTCTCTTCGCCTCCACTTTTTCTTTCTGCTCTTGTGATTCTTCACTTTCTCTCTGTGTTTTTCTTTTTCCTTCACGTTGTTTATCCTTTTAAATCATTATCATCATCTTCATCATCATCTTTGGTTACATCATAAATCCTTTATCTACCTTGCAGTTAATTTGTTTTCTCCCTGCAATGTGAAAACCTGAGTGTTTCCCATGAGCTTTCAGATTAACCGGATAATCTCAATCTTTTACCTCTTGATTTAATTACTATCATTAGTTGATAGTTGACAGTTAGATGATTAATCAAATTCTTCTGACAGTTATTATGTTATTCTGAAAATTGGAGACAATAATCTGTTTCCATTTCAACCTTTAAAAATCTTTCTGATTGTTTTTTTCTCCATTGAAAATCAAAGAAATCATTTAAAACATTTCAATTTGATTTAGAAATGTAGATTAAGTATCAGAAAGATTATTTTTATCTTTCAATAAGAGTAAATCTTGAGACGATTTATTTTTATCAATTTGAATTACTAATTGTTTTTCTTTTTTCCTTTTTCTTGTTTTTCTTATTGATTTAATTTAGGCTTTTATTGAACCTTCACATGGCTCTGATAATCATCATCATGGAGACAATCATGGTCACTCTCATGGTGCCGATGAAACAGCTGAAATGGCAAAGATTGGACATGGGGATCATACAAGAAGTGTTATTTATGGATTAATGTCGTTAATGGGGATAATTGGGTTTCTCACATTTGAACGAGTTTTAACAATAATTAGTGATTTATTTAGTCAAAGTAATCGGAAATCATCCAAGGTAATTATTAATTAAGTTATTCAAGAAGAAATATATTGCCCACATAGAGAAGATGAAAGAAAATGATTGATTTATATAAACTAAATTTTATCTCTTTCTAATTGAATCTAGAGCTTGGATTGAGATTTTTTCTCGCATCAAAGTTAAATAACACAATTTGATAATCATTATTGAGAATTAGAACTTGAAAGCAATTTCAATACTTATTTTATTTGATTGGATTAGGAAGCAATTTAGTCATAACAAGAATGAGTTCAACTTTCTCATCATTTTTTATTGACCTGAAATAATTTTGCTCTGTAATTTGATGATCATCTGTTCATTTTTCAATTACTCAATACCTAATTTTTTGTTTACTTATTATTGTGATGAGAGAGTGAGAGTGAGTTAGAGAGGAGCATAGATTCACTATGCTGATTCAATTGATTCAATTGATTCAATATGAAAATTAGGATATTTATTTTTTTATTTCTTCTTTTCCCTCGCTCATTTGTTTTTCTTCTTGTTGATCATTTTACAGATTTCTAATTGCAATAAAGCTAAACATTCAAATCACAACTTAACTGCTTTAAACGATAATGGACATGCGGCTGCCTCGGAATTGGAGAAACTTAATGAAACAATTAAAATGAATGATGAGAAATGTAAAGAGGCCGGTGATGTAGCTTATATGAATGGTAATGCAAATGATTTACAATTAACAACGGAACAATGTCATAGGGAGACGATTGTTTATCAACACCCAGATCCTGATAAAGGATATGTTGTAACATTAACTGATCATCATCATCATCATCAAAAGCAACACCAAAAAGGAGCCAAATCAGTGATAATGATGATCGTTACCGGTGATGGGATGCACAACTTTTTCGATGGCTTAGCCATTGGAGTCGCGTTTGCCGGTGGTGGGGTAGGTGGTGGTTTAAGTACCTCCGTAGCCATCTTATGTCACGAATTGCCTCATGAAGTGGGCGATTTTGCGGTTCTTCTTAATGCTGGACTTTCAACCAAACGAGCAGTAATGTACAATTTTCTATCAGCTGTTTTGTGTTTCATTGGAATGACGGTTGGTGTAATAGTTGGTAAAATGGATACCGGATTATTAAGTTCCCTAATTGCTGGGATGTTTTTGTATATTGCACTTGTAAACATGATTCCCCAATTAGATTGTTGTCCAACCGAATCAGGAACCACTCGAGCCCTTAAATTATCAATCCAATTAATAGGAATCAGCATTGGCGTTGCAATTATGTCTACCATTTCTATTTATGAGACCAATTTACAAGAACTTTTCCAATGATAATAATAAACAAAAAAAAGCCAAAAAAAAGTGAAAAATTAAATATTAATAGAATTAATTTTCTTGCTGATAAACATTTGAGAAACAATTATTATTGAGCTGAACAGTTTTCTAAATTAAATTGCTCTAACATTGAAAAAAAAATTTCTTTCATTTTATTTTCTCCCGCCAGATGGCAACACATTTGCAAATTTATTCTTCGTTCTGATTGGTCGGATTCTCTTTTCAAATTTTCTTATTTGTCAACTGAACAAATTACTTTGTTTTCTTAATCCAACTTGTTGATCTACAATTTAAACTTAGATTAATTAGTGGATTAATTGGTTCGATTAAGTATTTTATTTTTAATCCATTTTGTTTTATTGTGAGTGTCAACCTTTTTCTGTCAATTCAATGGATCTTCTTGCATCTATGTGTCCTTTTGAAGACAGTGAACAATTAATTGAAGAGACTCCAAATTCAGTTGATCTAAATATTAATTCAAATAATAAATCATCTGGTTTTGCTAAAGAAAAACTTGCAACATTCTTAAGAATCCGTCCATTGGATAATTTGACAATTGATGAGACACCTTACAAGATTATCAGTTCTAATAAAATTTATATCGATGAGAAAATCTTATCTACAAATAACTCATTGAAGAATTCAAATCCCTCTAAAAAAGTGTACAGTTTTACTGAGATTTTAGATGAATCAGCAACTCAAATTAATGTTTTCTCCAAATGCTGTTTACCTTTGGTTGAAGATGTTCTCAATGGAACAAATGGTTTTCTCTTTTGCTATGGGACAACTTCCAGTGGAAAATCGTTCACCATGAGAGGACCTCACGAAGATCCAACAATCGATCCTGGTTTGATTCCATTGTCTTTACAGAAAATCTTCTCTTCCCGTAAATTTATCGATGAACCTCTAATTGCCAAATCAAAGTTCTGTGATATTACCCTGGTTGACCAAAAAGTACAAGATCTTGAGAAACAATTTAAAGATTCAATCCTTGCCAGTCCATGTTGTCGTAATGTGACATCTTTCGATAACTATAATAATAACATCATTTTTAATGAGGATGGTTATCAGTATATTTGTTATCTATCGTATTTTGAAATTTACAATGAATTTATTTACGATTTATTGAATTCTTCTTCTGGAGGTCGAGGCACAGCCTTAACTTTATTTGCCGATGAAAAAGCGTTATTATGTTAAAGATTTAAGATCAGTTATGGTTTCATCACTTTCGGAAGCTTTAAAAATCTATTCGTTTGGATGGACCAATTTACAGAGAAACATTCAAGAGACTGGATTGAACAAAAACTCTAGTAGAAGTCACTCATTTCTATGTATCACTCTGATTAAATTCAAGGAAGACGAGGGCAAATTATTAGACTATCATGTCTCACAGTGAGTTGTTGCTATCATTTGATTATCCATATAATTGTTTTGACTTTTTTCCCTCACAATTTAACAATGTGTCTATTTCTTGGATTTAGTTTGACCCTTGGTGATCTCGCTGGATCGGAGAGACAAAACAAAACTCATTCTGAGGGAGTAAGAGCCAAGGAAGGTTGTAACATCAATGTATCTCTCATGCATCTGAAAGATTGTATCAATCAAACAAAACTGAACCAGAAAAAGTGAGTTGATTTTCTGTTCTTTTCTCTTGTTTATTTCGTTTATTTATAACTTTATTCTTTCTCTCAATTCTTCTTCAACAGTCCAAATCGTAACTTCATAGTCCCTTTTCGTAATTCGAATTTAACAAAATTCTTCCAGCCCTATCTTACTGGTAACGGTAAAGTTTGGATGATAATCAACATAAATCCTTCGCCAGTTTTGTTGAAAGAAACCTGTGGATCACTCGACCTTGGAGAAGCGGCAGCAAACATTTCTACACACTCTTATTATCAATTGAAATTGGAAGAGTCTAAAAGACGAATGACCCAAATATGGTTACAATCATCTCATAGATGGTCTTCATTTGTTACCAGTAAAATTCCTAAAGTTGTTATCGAAGAAAATTCTGGTATTGATCTAAAAGATGGAGAAGATCAACCAGATTTCGCCGCTGAAATGATGGAAATGGAAGGTCGAGTTCGTAGTGAAGTTATTTCAGAATTTGAAGAGCTGATAGCTGAACTTACAAAGGAACATGAACAAGATGTTCAACGAATTCGTGACCTTTATGAGAAAACAATGGAGTCCAAATTAGAGGTCTCAGAAAAGAAATATTCATCAATCATCAATAATCTTCAAGTCAAAATTGATCAATTAACCAATGAACTGTTTGATGCTCGAGAATCAATTGTCAACCTTGAGGAAAAGATGGCGCTTCAATTAGAAGAGGCTGAAAAAGAAGCCCAATCCAAATTAGAAGCCATTTCCAAGCCAATCGTTTTAAACATCGAACAAGCAGTTCAAACTGAGTATAAGTATGTGCCGTTGAATGCATATGAAGAGCTTAAGGAATCGTATGAGAATATAATCGTTGAGATGAAGAGGGAAAGTGAATTGAATTTGCAACAAATTCGTGAAGATCTCACAAGACCAATTATTCAACAAAATGATCAAGAAATCCAAACTCAAGATGAATTTGTTCCTTTACATGAGTATGAAGAGCTCAAAGAATCGTACGAGAAAAAAATCATTCAAATTCAAGATGAAAATGAATTGAATCTGCGAAAAGTTCGTGACGAAATAACAACTAAGTCATTAATCATCACACAACAACAAGAATGTCAAACTGAAGATAAATTTGTTCCCGTAAATGAGTATGAAGAGTTAAAGGAAACCTACGAGAAAAAAATGATCCAAATCCAAACTCAAGCCGATTTAAATCTAGAAAAAGTTCGCCAAGAATTTACTAAGTCAATAATTATCACTCAAAATCAAGAATGTCAAACCACTGATTTAGAACCCATCGTCCAGGTCGAGGAAAAGATCAATAATATAGAATTAGCTGAGAAAGAACTCGAAACCAAGTTGGAAAATCTCCGTGAAGAACTCAAATCATCATATGAGCAGAAAATAAGTAACATTCAAGCTCAACATGAAGTATCGATCAAAACGCTTCGCCAAGAGTTGACCAAACCCGCAACTGTCACCAAACATCAAGATTGTCCGACGAGTGATCAAGTTTTCCCTCCAGATGAACCAGAAGAAACTCCAATATCCCAACCGATCACTTTAAATACTTTTACAAATGTACAGAAAAATTCTCGAGAAATCACGATCGATGCAAATTACTTCCCAGTTTCCGAAGCAGCAAAAAAGAAACGAAAAGAAGATGCTGCCGAATCTCCATCAACCGAAGTAGTAAACGAATATTTGAAAAGATTCTGTTCAGCAAGTGTAAGTATTTATTCTTGGATGAAATTTGATCATGTCAAACATTAAATTTCTAATTTCTTACACATTATTTTTTCTTTCCTCAGACAACCAAAAAATCAGTGAAAAAATCAGCCAAGAAACCACCCAAGAAAAGCATGCCCGTGGTTATCCAAAAATCAGAGGATAATGTTGAAGAAGATGAATTGGCAAGTCTTTTACTGTCGAAAAAGAAAGATCGAAAAAAGAAAAGCACTGAAGAAGAATCGGCAATTAAAATTCCCACAAAGAGGAAAAAGATTCCAGTTACCGATGCGTTTCTCGAGACAACATCTCCTCACTTCGAAGACGAACAAGAACAAAATATCAAAGGAGGAAGAGTATTAAGACCAAGACGAAAGATAAAATTTTAAATATTCTAAAGTTTTTAATGTTTGAAAAACATTTTTTATTCTCTATTATCATCAATAATCATCATCATCTTTGTAATTTTCTAACCCATCAGAGCACAAAATAAATTTGATGAATTGTTTTGCTTGACCATTTTTCATGGCTCCATGTAAGTGCTCCATGTATTTGGATGAAACCGCGACACCATTGGTGCTACAATTGAACAATATCAAATAGTAAAAGAAAACAATTAAACAATTGCAAAGAAGAAGAAAAAGAAAAAGAAATCAACTAATTGTACTTACTGATCTGATTTTTTCCAAAGTAAATCCATCATTTGGGGATATTTTTTCACTGTTTTAAGAATACAAGTCAATGGTTGAGTATTTAGAATCACCTTAATTAAATCACTAGTTTGAATTTTACTTTCAATTGAATCAATAAAAATGATTCCAATTAAAATGATTGTTAACAATTTCATCACTTTTACGGTGAACATTTTTCACTCTTGGTTAAATTGTTGTGACTTGTTGACCACTTGAAAATAAAGTGATTCTCAATCTCAATGTGACTTACACTTTCTCTTCAATTATTGGATTAAGTTAATTCCTTTCAGTTTAAATTGTTTTTTCGGAAAAAAATTCGACCTCAAATTTTTTTGTCGATTGGATTAAATCGGTTGTTAATTCGACCACTAGATGGCAGCACTTCTTTGTTTTCGTTTTTATTGTTCACATGTTTTTGTTTTTGATTATCTAATTAGATTCTGATTGTTATTGTTTTGGATTATTTTGATTCCGGTTATTCGTTTATTTGATCTGCTAAAATTGTTAATTGTTATAATTCGTGATTGAAATGCCTGGTGGAAAGAAGCAGTTTGAGAAATCAGGACTTGGTAAAAGTCTAGTGAATAAAAACAAGACCAGTGGTATCAAGAAAAGCTCAGTAAGTGAATTTATTTTTATTTTCTTTGTTATTTGATAATCACTTTGATTGTTTGTTTTGATTATTTAATTTTTGTTTCTGTTTATTTACAGAGACATACGGCTGTTCTTAATGATGGATCAGATTATGGTAAAATTAATTTACGTAGTGTTACCCAAGAGACCAGTTTAGATGATTTTATTACCATCGCTCAAATGGCTGGAGATGAATTTGAAAAAGGTTTGCTTTGCTTATTGTTTAATATTTAAATTTTAAAGTTGTTGACAATTAACTCATCAGTTACCCTTATTAACTGTGTAAGTTAATTTTTGTCAGATCAAGATTCTTTTATCAAAAGCTAGGCCCTTAAACATCAATCAGTTTATAGATCTAGAGATTATTAGTATTAACAATTTTTGTCCGATCAAAAGCTGTTCTGATCTTGAATGTAATCTTTAATCGTTTAATTAAACGATTATACCCTCTGGAATTAGAGTAATTATTGATCGATTGGAACAGATTGAATTTGAACATTTTATCTTAATCGATTTCTCTCTTTAATTTCTATTTTAGATCATGAAAATGTAACAATAATTACCAGAGCAACTGTTCAGGGTGTTCTTAGTGAAGAGGAAAAACGTGCTTTGATCAAGGAACAAGAAGAAAATGAAGAAATGATTTGTATTCCAAGGCGACCAAAGTGGAATTCAGATATGAGTTCAGAAGATTTACTGAAAAAGGAGAATGAAAGTTTCCTTGAATGGAGACGTAGATTGGCTATTTTTCAGGAAGAAACTAAATTAACCTTAACTCCATTCGAGAAAAATGTTGAATTTTGGCGACAATTGTGGAGAGTTGTTGAAAGAAGTGACGTTTTAATCCAGATATTAGATGCTCGTAATCCATTATTGTTTCTAAGTAGAGATTTACAAAAATATGTTAAAGAAATTGATCCTAATAAGATGAATCTAATCATCCTCAACAAGGCTGATCTATTAGAAGAGAAACAACGAATAGCATGGGCTGAATATTTCGAAAAAGTTGGAATTCGAGCTGTTTTCTTTTCAGCCTTACAAGAATCAGTAGCAGATGAAACATTATCAGAAGAAGATGAATCCAAAGACAATGATGAAGATGCTGGATTTACCTCTACTGATGAAAGTTCCGATGAAGAGTCATTTGCAAATTCGGAACCTATTGAAGTGATTGACCTGAGAGAGGCAGAAGAACAAGAAACACCAACAAATTCTATTTCAGAAGAACCAGAAAATGTCGCATCTTCGACTTCAACTCAGCCTTGCGAGCCCAATAAAAATTCAGAAGAAGACGTTCAAACCCTTGGTAGACTATTAAATCGCGAAGAGTTGATTGAATATTTTAAGACAGTTTATCCGAGTGATCGACCAAAATTTAAAGACGAATATTTAACAGTTGGTTTTGTTGGTTATCCAAATGTTGGTAAAAGCTCAACAATTAATTCGTTAATCAAGTGTAAAAAAGTTTCTGTCTCCGCGACTCCCGGTAAAACTAAACATTTCCAGACTCTATTTCTCGAAGATGATCTTTGCCTATGTGATTGTCCAGGTCTTGTGTTCCCAAATTTTGCCTCAAGCAAAGCTGAAATGATCTTAAATGGGATCCTCCCGATTGACCATATGAACAATCATGTACCACCAGTGAATCTATTGGTCAGTTTGATACCAGCTTATGTTTTTGAGGTTAAATATAGTATCACATTACCAATGGAGGTTCATAAAGGTGTACAACTTACAGCTGAACAATTGTTGAATGCCTATGGTTATTTAAGAGGATTTATGAACCAAAGAGGATTACCCGATAATCCTCGAGCAGCTCGATATATTTTAAAAGATTTCGTTAATGGAAAACTGATCTACTGTGTTGCTCCACCAGGAGTTGATCAAAATGAATTTCACCAATTCACTAATCATCATCGACCTCGACCTGGACATATTACCCTTCGTCAACATTTTTTACTTGATTCAAAAGCTCACAATGTAAAATGTTTCGATTCAAATTACTTTTCGACAACTGGATCAACTGTTCACGCTAAAGGGCCAGCCAATGTAATCAATTTTTCAAGAGTTGGTAAGATCGGGCCTGTTCAGGGTGGCAATAGCAATCAGCCAACAATTAACAAACCATGGCGACAAGTGAGCAAAAGAAACACCAAGCAAAAATTACGAAAAGCGTTTGCACATTTGGATGTCAAATGAGGACGAAAAAATGAACAATCTAATTGTTGTAATAATTGTACAATCAAGCAAACAAAATTATATTATTATTACTCATTACCCTTTAATCATTTACCTCTAAATCAATCGAGTAAAGGTAAATTCCAAAGTTGAACTATTCTATTAGGTTGATCCGAGCAAAGTGAGCGGGTTTTGTTTAAATTTTTTGATTGGATTAATTGTTAGATTTTTTTAATTATAACATCAAAATAACCATAAAATACTAGAAATTAGATGTAAGAGAAAAACAATGTAATTAATCAACTAATTTATGAATAATCTAAAAAAATTAGAAAAATCAACTTTTTAAATTTTGCAAAATTTGAGAAAAAAGTAATACTCCCCCCTTTGATTTGCTCGCAAAATCGATTTTTTCAATTTTTCAATTTCAAATTAATTGAAAATCTGTGAGAATTATTTGTAAATTTAAACTAAAATATATTTAAACTAGCATTTCCGATTAAATATCAAAAAATTTTCCAAGTTCGATAATTAAATTGATAGTTATTTAATTACAAAGTCCGCTCACTTTGCTCGGATCAACCTAATACTTAATTGTTTAGGAAATTACTTTTGTAATTAGGGGCTTTTCCATTAACTAATTTTTTAAACCAATTTGATTGATCTGAATTATGATGAGTTTTTTAGATGTGATTATCTAATCATTACGCTTAGATTACTTGTTGGTTATTACGATCAATGGTTCCATCGCCATTGTCAGAGCAGATTGAAATCATTGCAGTGAATTCAAAATAGTAAGGCCTCCAAACTGGTTTATTTACCACCTGATTGTAGCTCGGAAATTTTCAATCTTATTGTTGATTCTTAACTTCATCAGTGTATTTAAATGAAACTGGCTCCTCGTCTTCGTCAACGATAACATCATAATAAGATTTGCCATCGAAATCACCGACAACATAATCAACTTTTTTATCCCAAAGAGATTGGACTTCTCTGTTAATTGTTTACCAATTAATTGTCTTGTCAATATATTAGAGATTAAAGTTCTGATCATGGTTTAGTTTCACTTGCACTGGGAATGATTTTTCTAAACGTTCTTTTGTTATCAATCCATGTGGAAACTTGATTCTTCGGGCTCAACTGACCAAGAATTAGCCCTGTCCGACATTGAAAACAACGATAGTCATTTAGTTGGCGACGAAGAAACAAATATTTCATAGCAACATGTTTGTTACCTTTCACACTTCGAAATATACAGCAATTTTATCTATGACCTTTTGACTCCTTCATCTGATGGCTCAATTTCTCCTCGGTTCCTTTGCCATTGTCAGAACAGGTTGAAATCATTGAAGTGAATTCAGAATATTAAGGCATCGAAACAGTTACTCGTTTACCACCTAATTGTAGCAATTTACGAATGTTAATTAGCAATTGGAAATTTTCAATCTTATTGTTGATTCTTACCTTCATCAGTGTATTTTAATGAAACCGGATCCTCATCAGCCATAATGTCATAAGACTCGCCATCGAAATCACCGACAACATAATCAACTTTTTTATCACAAAGAAATTGGACTTCTCTATTGGACAATTAATTGTCTTGCCCATATATTTGATTCTTTTTACCTGTTGAACGGCATCTGGCAATTAGACTTGAAAATTATCCGCACGGTAGATATAGTCGCGCGTAGAGGTTGGATAACTAATTCGTAATTTGATGCTCAATAATCAATTGTGAAGAAATGATCAACTATCAAATCAAAAGCTTTCACCTCTTTTTTCGAGAGGCAGTTGATCTTTCTGATTTCGGTGGAGTGGAAAAGTTAATTAATTAAATTGGTCGAGTTTAAAAATCATTATGAGCATAAAATAACATCTCAAGTGTCTCACTTAATTTCAGACAAAAAGGCAAGTTACAATTAACATTAAGATGCAATTGTAAACAAAGTGACAATCACAATCATTTCTTGACAAAGAGAGAGGAAATCTCCACACTCTTTTTGTCTCCTGACCATTTATCAATAGAAATTTAATTCATATCTTAATCTACATATCTTAATGGCCATTAGTGATTGTGCAATAACTCATACATAATGTATTTTACTTTTCATTTTATGTTTGGCTGACAATAAAAAGATTGGATGATTGTTCGAGTAAATTATAATTACTTGATTATTGAGGAAAAAGTATTACAAAGTTTAAAGGGAACAAGATGAAGACAAGAGAGAGTAAAAGAAAGCAAGAAACAGAAAGAGAAGATAATGAAGACAAGAAAGACGAGAAAGATAAAGGGGAGAGAGAGAGAAAAATTGATAGTAATAGTAAGTTATTGTTTTCTCATCATCATGAAGGTGACTTTGTGTCATAAAAAATGAAGGTCAACCCATGGATCTGTATCGGAATCAAAAAGCCTTTCAGAAGAAAGTAAAAGAGTTTCAAAGAGAATCAAATTAATGGAAATGTTTAGACTCCAGAAAGTGATTAAGAAGATAAAATGATGTTTCATGATTATCACCATGATGATGATGAAAGACGATGTTGGAATTGTCGGAGAAGAAAAAAATATGATTGTGTACACACAATATCTGTGTAAACAATTATTTCATCGAGTTGAATGTAACTGTAATTAAGAATTGATTATCATCATCATGGTTAATTGTGGTTACTATTTTTTTACACATAAAAACCAGAACGACTGATTAACTGTTATTAACTGTTTAGCTTATGAAAGTTCATGAAAATTATTTTTTTTTGAAATCTATTGTTGGTAATAAAATATTGTTACAGTTTAATTTGAAAATCGAAATCATTATTTCACCAGCAATTAACAGAACCGGGTTTTTTAGCAATACAAATACAATTGTTCTAATAGCTAATAATTAGTTTGATAATTTGATAATAACAATCAACTGGTAGTTAAAATTATTAATTTGATTGACAGTTTCATCTACTTGTCAATACTAAGCAAGTGACAATTAAAAAGCCAAGTAGTTAACTGATCTCGACAAGAAATGTTTATTTAATCTTATCAGAATGATTCACTTACTATTACTAATCAATTTCCAGTTTTTAATTGGTAACAATCAATACCTTGTGCAGAAAAAATTAAGCAAGAGTGTTGATTAAAATGTAATTAGCTGATTACCTTTATTTTGTCACTGTTTATATTAAGACCATTAATCAATCATGATAAAGTTTAATTATCGTATTTTTATCTTTAAACTTAATGATGATGATTAAATGATCCAATTGTTGATCATTGATATTAACACTATTCTGGTGAAGTTAATTTTATATAAATTGTTTACTCTGGTACTCAAATCACCAAATCATTATAATTATAATTATAATTCAAATATAAACAATTCTACAAGACATTCTAAACTCATTTTAAATGTTTATTTATCATGATACACTCGTTTAAGTTTGGAATTTTTACCTCTAATTTGACTTTAGGTTATACTTAAGGAATTGGAAAACTGGTATAACCCTTCGTTTTGCATTAAAAGAAACTAACCTCACTACCAAAATACTGAAATGCATACCAAATTTAGAAACCAGAAAGAGGAAATCCAGATTTTCATTGTTTCACATGATAAAAATATTCAAACAGACATTGATTTACAACATGAAATTTTTACAACACAATCGGTTTCAATGCAACATAAAGAAATTCAAACAGATCAGCGAGTTGTACAACAAGGTACTCAAACTAGCATATCTCTTTCGGACTATGAGATCATAAAAAAATCAACACTTACCAACCTGAAGGAAATCTTGGAAAATGCTATCATTCAAGACATTAACGGTAGTGAACAAGAAACGCAATCTTCTAATGAGCAGCCGATAATCCATGAAATGAATCAATTACAATCTAGTTCTAAAAGGAATATAACTTCTACCACACAAAATCAAACGCAAATGAAGAAAAAGCGATTATCTTTCATAAATGCACTAGATAACATCTGTTACACAAATTCGAATTCGACATGTAACAATGATGAAGAAGAAATCATACCCTCTGACAAATACGCCATAACGTGGAATAACACTGGTAATAAAATTTCAAAAGCAGATGTAGACGAATATATTGGTAAAAATTATGAAAAGAAATGCGTTGGTGAAAAACAAGAGTTGTACGTGTGTACACACCAGCATAATTGTGGCACATCTCATATCAACAAATCTGCTGTTTCATCTCATATATTCTCAATTGATTTAAAGGTAAAATGTAACAATTGTAACAAAATTTACAATCCATTCACTAATTACACGCAGCACGCAAACAAAACAAAATGTAATGCAAAGTAATCTATATGAAAGATAATAGATAAAACATACTTAACATGCTTTTTACTTATCACACTTCAACTTAAAGCAATTTCATTTATGACCTTTTGGCTCTTCCATCGGATGGCTCAATTCCACCTCTTCCCTTTTTTACTGATGATGACAAAAAATCAACCTCAGCTCAATATGGAAATAACCTTACAACATTTAAAAAAGATCCTTTTTCATTAGATTGTCTTGATTGTATTGACTATGATTAGAATTAAATCTGAGCTTCAATTCCTTTATTAAGATCATAATTAAGTTAATTTAGTTTAGCGCGAAAAATTTACGCTGATGATTAGGCTTGAGCCGAACCAGATGTTGGCCTATAGCAAAAAAGTCAGCTGACATACACTTACATAACCTTACCATTTTTGCTTGAACAATAACTTTTGTTTGGTTTTTCTTCTATTAACTAAGAGATAAGATCATTTACAAATATTCAGGTAACCTAACAATAATTAATTTCATAAAATTAAACAATGCTACTATTGGGTTATTATTAGCTTATACACAAATTCATCTATTAAAGGTTTAGACGATTGCTAGATTTTTTGTTGATTGAACGATCAAAGAACTAGTTTATGTCCCAAAATGTTATTCTACCCATTACTTGAACAATTCACCGAATTCACCACCATTTCAATAAATTACCCTATACACATCGCATATTTTACTGGAGAAAACAATGATAATGTTATCACTTCAAAATAGCTGCAAGGAATAACGGGTGGACTTTAGAGCAAATGTTTATAATTGTTCCAACTTTACTAAA